CTAGCGGGCCTTCTAGAATACCCTGGAACCGAGGGGAACTCTGAAAGAATACGCCCATTGGCTACAAATCAATATATGATTGGTTGATCAAACTATCAGTCCAAACGTACGCTCTCATTCAGTGCAACGGCCAGGGCATTCTATCAAGGATGTAGAATACCTTGGTTGAAGGATATTCTACCCAGAGACCCAGAACAAGATCTGATTGGTTGCTTTCTTTTCTACTGAAATGCGTAGTGCATGGTCCGAGAAGGACAAACAAATCAACGTAACACTGTAATATTACAGATCAACAACACAAATCTCATTTATTCATTTTATATACATTTACATACATTTTATTTATATAATTAAATCGATTTTTTGTTTGTTTTATCTGAGTGTTCCAGGGTGTTCTCTGAATACCTTGAAGGCCCTGACGGTTCGCCACTGCAACATAGTGACATCACGATGTAACACTCACACTTCAATTGGCTAGCGCTCCAACACATTATAAATGAAACGCTAACGGACAGAGGGTGAAAAGAGGAAATAAAGAGCTTTTTGAACATTAAAATATGGAAACATGTCACAGTAGAGGCAAATATACAATTATGAAACGTGAAAATGAGCATAATAGGGCAACTTTAAATAAATTCATGAACCTAATAGTGGCTGCTATAGCTAGCTACCTTATCAAAAATGTGTTTTCTGTTTACAAAAACATCAAAGTGGAGCAAAATGTATGACTTCCATTATTAAATTGCCAAGCTACACCACACCTCTAGTGTTTTTTGAACTAACACAGAGCAACTGTGAACCTTATATTTATATCCTGTTACTTTACTGCTTCTTCCCTCACCTTTTATCACAACTTCCCCAACTACTTCTACAGTTTCTAACTCTACCTCCGTCCTGTTGTTCTGTCCTTCCCTCCTGCCTTTCACCTCTCCACGAGTACCAACACTTTATTATTCAGCAGGGCTTCGCAGGGACACTGTGAAATCACCTACTTCACGGATCCCTTATGGAATGTGACACTTCCCACACATCAAACGGCAGATCCTCTTTCTCTCAGTCTCTGTCTGTCTGAGTTCCCTCCGCCGCCCCCGTCCCTCCATCTTCTTTCAACCCTTTTACCCTCACAAGCAGAAGCACAGTCACACAATGCAGATGTTTACAGCGCTCATCAAAGCCCTCATTGGGTAATTACATGTGTGACACAGAGGCGAGGCAGGGTGTTAAACTGTTCATTACGAGTAATGCTTCAGGATTATTGTTTAACAGGATTGTTAGGAATACTTTGCGAAATCATTTGATAGGAAAGACCCCCGGTGGTTGAAGTCCTAACCTCGCTATAGTGATTTCTATAAATGCACTCAGGGTGTGAACACCTCGAAATCACGGCTGGGTGGTTAACAGTGCAGCAGAACTTCTAGCAACATCTGTCAATGACACTTGATATGTTCACCAGGCACTATAATGGATTTGGGGAGGAGTAACTTGAAGCAAGATGGGAGCAAAAGTTGATATGATCACAAGTCATATCAGGTACATTTAGTTTTGTAGTGTAAGTGCTGCTTAATATTAAGAAGTTGCTACTTGTGAATGTATGTAATTGAGTAGTGAGCAGAGTGCTTTTTCATTATCAGATCGTTTCATTTGCATATTTCTGGAGGTCTATAGGGGTAAAAAACAAAAGTAAATATTTGGGGACATTTAGAAAAAAATGAATTAATTGAGTTTTCATGCTTTATCTTTCCAGGTGTATCATTACATAGGGTGACCAGGTTCCAACAATCCACATGTGGAACAATGCTGTTTGTCCATCTAACCCTTACAAATAAAAAATGATATTGAAACTATTAGCTTATAAGTATTTTTGACAACGTTTGACTAGGTTTATTGTTTGCAAAAATAGTAAAATACTTATAAAAATATATTCGGTTTGAGTGGATTCCTTTTTACAACAAACAATCATCGCCAACATGTCCGTATTTTTTTTACTATGTCTAAGTCTGAAAAAATTACCGAGTGGGAAATGTTCATTATTTCAGCTGCTAAAACCTTGTGTTTGGTAATCCTGTTTTGGTTCAGTAAGAATGTGTCCATAGATCAATATTTGTCTTGAGCCAGGCATTTCTTGTGAGTTTCATGCAGTGTTGCTTTAAATCGTATTCACCTCCAGTCCATGCATGATTGAAAAATAAACTATGGTAAATGTCACAAAGACATTTCTGGGAATCGCCCTCCACCGGCTACACTCATTAGTAAATACATTTCGAGCCGTTGTTGATTGATTAACATCCGAAACAGCTTATGATGAAAAGCTAAACAGCCAGGTTTTAGACGGGTGACTGTCAAAAAGTGGGACAACTGGTCACCCTACATTTACATTATATTGTGACCCTTGGAGAGGCCCCGGATCAGAAAAAATAACTTGAGAAATTGTAATAATTAAAACATTAATTGAATATTCATATAACGTTTATACTCAAACAGTCTGGACACCATCTGGAAACTGAACTGATGGGTAACACCACAGGTGAGAAATTAGCAGTCTTACAGTTGTAATACCTTCTTTTTTTTTAACAGCACATATTTTATAGTATTTAGAGTTAAGTGTAAATGACTCGACTGAACCTTCTAAACATTCGCATGTCAGCACATATGTTTGCACACATGTTCTGCAATCTGTATTTTAGAGATTTGGAACAGCCTAACATCACTGCTGGCCCAGCTGTTTAAAACAGGCTTCCAATGCTTTGGTTTATTATCCAATGAAGTATTTATCTTTCTTTTCATCATCGGTTTGCTTTATTACCCTTCCTAAAATAAAATGATTACCCCAAAAGACAATTGAATCAATTGCTATTATAGTCTCTTAAGAACATTTATGAAATGATAACCCACATTGATAGGCATAATTAAAAGGACAGCGAAAGAGAGTTAAAATAATATGATGTTAAGTCGTTAGCTAAACATGCTACTATACTATTCTGTAATGGCTTTATAGGTCACTAAATGGAATAAAATCATGGCAAAAACATTGCTTTCCCGATTTAACGTCAGAGGGTTTGCCGTTATATTTTATTGTATTATAAACATATGTGCAATGCCCTGTTGACATGCTGCTACTGTATAACAAAAACAATTCTCTCATCTCTTTCGACTCCACTTCGAGCGTTAGAACTATTAACGAAGCACTTTTATACTAATAAAGGACTGGCTTACCTAAAGCCAGTTGAGTAGCACTTGAAATGTTTGGCTCTATGAAACCTGATGTACTTATATGATTCTGTTTTCTTCAAGGTTGTGTCTTCCTGGTCGAATGTACTTATTGTAAGTCGCTTTGGATAAAAGCGTCAGCTAAATGCAATGTAATGTAATGTAATTCTCAATTTGGGATCAATAAAATCAATCTAATCTAACCTGACCTCCTTTGTGAGGCTTCATAACTGTTAACCTTACAAACAGGGCTTTTAAAAAAAAAATTGTTTACACATAAATGACCAGTTACTCTTCCACTATATTTAGGAACAAATGTTTCTTTTGGACTTGACAGCACTTTTATGTTTTTAGGAATTCATGTGGATGTTTTTTTCAACAGTTCCTGGATGTATGGCATATTTTTGACTATATTTTCAAATGTAAGCTTGTATATCTGTCTATGCATGTCCGGCATGGACATGTCCGGCATGTATCACATGCATGCCAAAGGGAAGCCCGGTTTTCCTGTCTGTGACTCTGCCAGCCATGTGTAATCTAATCTGTAATCCCTAATCTCCATTGGGCCCAGTGACTGGATAATTTTAATCTAGCTGCATCTCTAATAAACTGAATGTGGGTGCTGTTGGGTAGTGTAATCCACTCAGTCTGCTGACAGCCACAATGACAACACAGTTAAAGGGCCGGCAGTACCCTCCAATGTCAGACCACCATCTGCCTGCCCATCCCACTACTCCTTACTATGACTTGACTGCCAATTAACCATTTGTTAAAAAAACAGACACAGTCCTTCAGGAAACATTTTCTAGAGATGGAAGCCTTGGGAAGGAAAGCATTAATCTTGTATATTTCTCATTTCATTCCACCGTGTGCTACCATTTCATTACGAGCAGATAAAACAACTCCCGTAAACATGAAAATGGTTTCCCAAAGCCCGTGTGAATTTGTATCTCCATTTTAAAAACAGCCAGCCAGCAAACATTCCAATATTTACAGCTATGGAGCTATTTACAGTAGCTGGAGTCTTTCATTGTCTAATATTAGAGTGGTCTTTATGTTTGGCCACTGTGCTGCTCACTTTAGTGTAGTGAGTTTAGTGCCTTGCTCAATTATACTTTATAGTCACACAGATTTTCTAAATCACTCTGGCTTGCAGATAACAGAATATTGCCAGCAGCTACAACACATTATACCAGCTCAAGTTTTCTTTTTTGCTCAGAGTTGATTACACCTCCCATTCTAAAAATAAAATGTCATCAGCTTGATTAAACTTTGATAGGCATGCAGAATGACACCTGCTACCAAACAACACACCCCACACACCAGCAGCCTGCAAATCAAGCGCTTTCACTACAACCCAGATTCCTGCAAATCTTGTTGATGAAATGCACCGACTAGTCGAGGGGGGCAAGCTGCTTTTTCAATGACAAATCTGGATGCAAAAGCAAAAACAAAGAAGCTTTCCACTGTGCAATGTTCCCTCATTCACAGCATGGATGGCGCACACGAAAAAAACAATAATAGAAGCGACGTTTTGCACAAATGCTGTTATAATATGATCATCTGGCGTCTTTGTTCTCAGACCCAGATATTCGCGCCAGGAATCTGACACATCAGGTTGGTCTGTGGAAGTCTCAATAAGGAGAAAAAGAGTCAGTTGGAGATATTTGTTGTGAAATTCAGTTGCTACAACAGGACAGCTGTGGTGCAGATTGGAGAACTCATGGGGAGGCTGTGATTGGGGGAAAGAAAAAGCAAGTATTGACATATGTGACAAATCGCTTGCAACATACCTGCCTGATTGGTTGTCACATTGAGTGACACATACTGCTTGGCGTGCTCTTTTGCCAGCTCTGACACCCCGTTGACGGCCTCCAGCAGGAAGCTGTAGTTGGTGTGTGACTGCAGGTCGGCCACCATGACCGACGTATTTGACAGGCCGACGCGTCGGGGCAGGAAACGCACGTTTGGGCCGCATTCTTCCAAGCCCCTCCCCTCTGGCAGGACCTGTCTGCACAGGATGTTGTAGCACACGTCCTTCCTGTTACCCGTTTCCATGGGGACGGACCACTCCAGGAAGACGCTGGTCTCGTTGACGTTGGAGATAGCGTTGCGTGGAGCAGATGGAGGGCCTGAGAGAAGAAGGACCAATCATGTTAATGGTAAATGGACTGCATTTATATAGCACTTATCTAGTCTTTCTTAAAAGTGCAGGGGCAGCTATGGCTCAGGGGCTTAATGACTGATCTACCAATCAGAGGGCCAGTGGTTCAATCCAAACCCCTGAAAAGAATACGTGGAAATTGGTCTTCTAAACCTGAATTGCTCCCATAAACATTGCCATGGCTTTGGATTCCACTTGGACAAATGTAGGGTCATGTATCTTCAACATGTTGGCTGCAGGGTCTGGGGATCAGACCACCTACTTTTCTGATTGGTGGACGGCAGCTCTACCTCAGGAGCCCCAAAGTCAACGTCTTGTAAAACAGTCAAGAAACTTTAAAAACGTGATGTTATTTCTGCAACTCTATGTCCAAAAATAAATAAGACTTAAGCATGTGCAAATATAAAGGAGCTTTATCCTCACGTGTGCAAGCCATGTTGGGAGGGTCGGAGTCGATCTTATACCACCCATCCTCACAACTGCAGGCGGTGGCTCCCATCTGCCTGGCCACACTGTGCGGGGGACATTTACTGCAGGCCGGAGACTCCAGCAGCGAGCGGTAAAACCCCACTTTGCAGACTGATAGAGGAGGAGGGGAGGGGGGCGGGTGGCATGGAGTGTTTGGGGTTGGATAAAGAAGAGATGAGATGATAAGAGGAGACGTACAAATACGAAAGGGAAGAGGGTCATGGGGAGAGAGGTAAAAAAAAAGAAAAGTGGGGGAAGAGAAAAAGCAAGACAGCATGGTTAGTTCCTTTGAAAAAAAGGAGGTCAGCATCAAAACCAAAAACAATTTGCCTGGATGGTTCTGGTTGTTTTGAGGTTCCTCATCAGAGATACCGGTGTTTAATTTAAAAGAATCATTTGTCACCTAGTTTGTGTCGCATTTGTATTTCCTTCTTTGTTCCTTTTGATGTCTTTTTATCTCCCCTCTAGGGAGTATTGCTTTTATCCAACCTGTGAAACCCTGCTCTCGTCTTCAAGTTGTATTATCTTAACAAAGAAAACACTTTTCTGACTTTTTTATTTCCTTTCGTGGAGCATCCCGTCAGTACTTTTGCTTATTAAAAAGCTAATGCACTCACAGGAATCTTGTTTTTTGTTTTGTTTGTCGCTTTTCATAAGTTAAATCTAATGTACTGTAACCTTATTGAGAATTGTGTGCATCTGCTGCACAATATTGTCCCCACCGAGCCCCCATACAGTATGTGACACATATACAAACAGACATAATCTTTCTTCCTCCCACACAAACATACACTCAGATCAGACAGATCTAAGTGGAGTAGGTAAACAGCGGGGTTACACACTCACATTGTTAACAAGCATACATAATCAACCTCCGTCTCCATGGTTACGCCCCAAAGCCAATCAATGACTGACTTATCGTCGCATTGTTGTTCCTGCTGATTTTTGCCATTGCACCCATGCAGATACAAATCGACACATGAATAAATTATGATGCGTTTTGACTTTTTACAAGAAGGGCTGCAAAGATGCCCATAGATTTTCTATAGTCAGAGATAAATTAATGTTTCATAAGGAGAAGACAGGGAGGGAGAGTAGTATAAGACAAAAGAGAGGCGATGTATTTGTCCTCCAAGGGCTTAAAGGTTAGGAGCTGTTGTTTTATAAATGTGCCTGCTGTAAAGCCCATCCAGGCTGCAACTGGGATTAACAACTACATAATTAAACTGCAGGTAAGAAGACAAAGGGATATAAGGGGAGAAATAAGGGTAAGGTAAAAAGGAAATGATGGCGGGAGAGAGGGAAGGAAGAAGGGAGACAAGTTTACGAGCAAGGACGGTGAGAAAAAGAGTAGAGGGGATGAGACAAAGGAGGAATATAAGGGGAGATTTGTGTGTGTCTGTGTGTGTGTGTTTCAGGCGTTTGGCGTAATGGCTCTGATTCCCCTTGACGGAACCTTGGTCCTTTGTCATGGAACATTAGGCCTGAAAAATTCTCCCTCTGCCCTGAATCGCTCTGTTTCTCACCTCTGACACACACACACACACACACACACACACACACACACACACACACACACACACACACACACACACACACACACACACACACACACACACACACACACACACACACACACACACACACACACACACACACACACACACACAACACACACCACACCACACACACACACACACACACACACACACAACACACACATCACACACACACACACACACACACACACACACACACACACACACACACACACACAACACACACACACACACACACACACACCACACACCACACACACACACACACACCACACACCACACACACACACACACACACACACACACCACAACACACACACACACACACACACAACTAGGATGTGGAGGAATTTGTGAAGATGACCTAATTTTGAATGAGCAGATAGTCATACAGTTGATGACATAATGTTATGCTCAACAGCACACTGACAGTATCGTATGCCCTGGGGGTTAGGTTTTTTCAGATGTGAAAAGATGTGGACTTTTTTTGTTGTTGCTGCCATTACATTTTTCGTAGAATACAATAAAATGGATCCCAACACATTTACATTTACTTCCTTATACTTCGATGAAGCCAACGATGATGTACAGCCTCATTACATTCTACGTGTGTGTGTGTGTGTGAGAGAAGGTCTGCAGCATTCAGGGCAGTAGGACACACCAGATCCTTTGTCTGCCTTTGCCCGCCATCACGCACACATTTATGGTTGCATACATACAGATTTATTGCCATAGTCATTTCATCCTCCAAAACCCCCCATGGTCAAAGCAATACAAATTGGGTGGCAACACACACACACACACACACACACACACACACACACACACACACACACACACACACACACACACACACACACACACACACACACACACACACACACACACACACACACACACACACACACACACACACACACACACACACACACACACACACACACACACACACACACACACACACACACACACACACACACACACCTTGGTCCCAAACTTGCACTTCCTTGTTCCTGTCTTAGTTTGTCCCTCACATTGAGATGGTTTTTAATGCGCCATAATCTCCCCTCTCTCCCCTGAACACATAAAAGAGATATCCTTCTATCTGTGTAAGTGGTTCTGACAGCCAGTGAAGTGAAGAGGAGTAAGTAAAAAGCAGCATTAAAGAAGAACTGATTATGTTTATTTTTACATTTGGTGCTTAGCTCTCACCTGCTGTTTTGTGCCTGTGCTGCAATACCAAATACCACCTGTCAATCAAACAGCATGCTGTGGGCACATAATGGTACTATGGTGGCTCCTTTTTTGGATGTCCTGTTATTGTTTTGGAGTTTTTGTTTATTTGTTGTCTGTTGCAGAGGGTAACTACTTAGTATTTATTCCACATACAACAGGAACATATATGAGGCAATATAGTAACTATACAATCCTAGAGAATGAAACGACGGATTAGTAAAAATGTGGCATATGTAAAAACCAAACTGCATTGCTGAATAAAGACACAGCTAGCCTGATAGAAGTAGATGTGTGTCTATATGTAAATAGACAAATACACATTGGCTAATAATGTGGTGTCAAAGATTATATGACAGGTTTTGATTAAATTAATATAATGCATCCATTTCCTCTGGAATCTGCACATGATCATGAGAACGATATAAACATTTGCAATTAAAATGTGCAAATTGGTGTGAAAAAAAATCCATCGCATGCCACTTGAATGAAAACCAATTCCAGTGCACTAACATGCACCAATAGCGTACATGTTAGGTTATTTATTACCATTAATTCCAGCTCATTTCCATTCAGGCTACATAGATTACACATGCTCTGAAGGAAAAATGAACATGTGTGGTAATCAACTGTAAGCATGTATTGTTGGACATGACTTGACAGCATGAGTGTGAGTGACTACATGGTTATATCATGCGTCTTTTTGGATGTTTTTTCTCCATTTTAAAGATGTACCACATGCAGGCAAAAGGGGGCATGAAGGTCAGGGCAGCCGGCTGAAGGCAGAAACTAGGATAAAGCGATTAAAATGCCACAGAGAGTGAAAGAGAACATGTGTGTTCAGTATGGACTCTAAAAAGCTGAAGGGTAGGCCTTAAAGCCAATGGTGTGGCTGTCAGGACAAGATAGGACAAAAACACGTAAGTTGACTAAATGCCACTTAAATGGCAACTGAATTAGTGCACATGTGAATAAGTGATTACAAGAAACTGTACACACCATCCGCCACAGCGAAATAAACAGTTGTTAATAGAAATGATAGAGATACATACATAGTCAAATGTGTATGCTTAAATATGAAGAAAACATTTCGTTTTGAGTTCTATTTTTGTGTGGCTCTGTGAATGGTATCTAAAGGCATCATCATAGCAAAAATAATGAATTACCATAAGCTTCAGCTACTTTGTTCGTCATTAGGAAATCTGTGCATGCTAACACGCTACGTACCAAGAAGTGATTTGATATACTTTATTAATCCCCGTGGGGAAATTGTTTCTCTGCATTTGACCCATCCTGTGTTAGGAGCAGTGTGCTGCCATTTTGAACGGCGCCCGGGGAGCAGTGTAGGGAACGGTGCCTTGCTCAGGGACACCTCGGTAGCACTTGGTCTTGCCGGGACTTGAACTGGTGACCTTCCAGTTGCCAAGCCAAGTCCCTATCGACTTCGCCACCACCGCCCCTAAGGGAGTGAGCTAGCGAACATATGCTGATAAACACGCGAGTATAGCATTAAGTAAAAAAATATATATATACATCGTGAATGAAGCGGTTAGCATTAATGTAAACTTAAACAAAGATTTAAGAATGAAAGGTTATTTCCCCCAAAAAAAGAACATACTTTGTGCGTCATTAACAAATGTCCGCATGCTAACACGCTAAACACCCAGAAGGGGGAACGGTAAACAAATGCTAATAAAAATGTTGTCACTGTACATACAGCATTAAGCTAAACATGCAGTGTTAATTAAGCTGTTAGCATAGCTGTATACTTGTACAAATAAGTTGATTGAGACATTCCCATTTGTTTTTTAGCAAAACCAGGAAATGTATTAAACCATTTTCAATAATATATCTCTATAATAGAGTCTACCATACACTCCAACCTTTAAGCCGATACAATATTAAACATATCTACTTTTGGAAAGCGTTAAAAATAATCTCCTTTTTCAGTGACTACTTTCTTCTTTTAATTTAATCATCTTTTATTTTAATAGATGTCCTACGATGAAGGCTCTCCAGATGCAAGGACAGTCAGGCTGTTAGATCTTTGGATCAGGTGCTTTACTCGTTAAATAATCTTTGAAAGACACTCCCACTCACATCCACACATCACACACACACACACACACACACACACACACACACACACACACACACACACACACACACACACACACACACACTACACACACACCACACACACACACACACACACACACACACACACACACACACACACACACACACACACACACCACACACACACACACACACACACACACACACACACACACACACACACACACACACACACACACA